AAAGCACTTATATACTAATAAAGGACTGGCTTATCTAAAGCCAGTTGAGTAGCACTTAAAATGTTTTGGCTCTATGAAACCTGATGTACTTATATGATTCTGTTTTCTTCAAGTTTGTATCTTGTTGGTCGAATGCACTTATTGTAAGTCGCTTTGGATAAAAGCGTCAGCTAAATGCAATGTAATAGTTAGACCTAACACACTTAGCTATTTGATCTACCTCTGGAACAAGCTAAACTAGTTATAAATATATTTATTCTTCACTGTCGGGTCACTCATTACTGGATCAGTGAGCTGCATGAGATACTGACAGGCTGTCAGGAGAGAGAGAGAGAGAGAGAGGAAAAGAGAGCGCTTCCGCTCATTTCTCCCGTGTTATTATCCAAAGTTAATGTAAACTTGAATAATGTACTGTATTTGAATGTAATAATTATGTTGGTTGTTGTTTGTGGAAGCACCAGTGAATGAGCCCCATTAACTGAGTTTTAAACATCACTTTAAATGGAAGATCCCCATAGGCCCCGCCCACTCGATCGGGTCGGCTATCGGCTGATACTGATTCCGGCGATCGGCCCCAAAATTGGCGATCGGAGCATCCCTAATCATAATAGTGAGATGTGACCTTTGAGTCTGTTTTTGTATCATGTTAGCTAGCTAGTAATGCAGCAAAGATCAAGTAACTAAGCAGTTGATGACAGACTTGTTAACTGCGTAAAAAATGTGTATCCTGTTGTTGGGCATTTTACAAGAGGTAGTAGGGAGAGGTAGCACAAAGAAAAAACTGCAACAAAAATGGTTTGAGTCCACAAAGTTGTATACGTATTACTTTTTTGTTGTATCATATTGTTTAGTTGTGGCCAGGTATCAAGTGCTCTGGTCTTTGGGTCGGGCTTGATTCGCCCTGATCTAGATACTGCTAGCCACATAGCCGCATGAATGTGAGACACGCTAGCTTGCGCAGTAGTTTCAAGATTCAATTCAAGATTCAAGGCTTTTATTGTCATTCGTACATAGACATTATGTCCCAGGCTCCTCCAACAGTGCAACACAATAAAACGGATATAAAATAGTGCAAGTAAATACAATAAAATAGAATAGAAGTAGTGCCATAAGAGTCTATATACAAGTGATACATCATTTGTAAGTTGCAAACAGGTGAATGTAGCATCATTGCCTTATCTGAGTCGATTTGAAGCTGTGGTAAATATAGATACTTTCAACTTCAACATTTAGTAATACTGGGTGTGTACACACATTGTAATAAGACATGTGGTGTTAATTGAAGTTTGCAATTATCCTATATTTCACAGTTGCTGCTTCTCTCATTGTGTTAGCATGAGGTTCAATTCTGGAGGGAAATTGTGATAATGGGTAATAATATAGAGAGTAATGTTTGCAGATATTCATTATTAATGTCCTGTAGCATGGAACCTGTGTACGAACAATAATTGAAGTCATGCTGACTTTTGGCTTCAATCAGGTTGTATGTAAAGTTGTTAGTCGTCTTATAAGAGTTGATTTATATTCCTTGAATTTGAATTACAGATCCCTATTCATGTGTAACTTAAAATCATGTTTTCATGAAATCTCCAAGTTATTCACTCCTAACCCTTGCTGTTATCCAGCACTTTCATTTTTTGCTCTTGTCATGCACTCTTAAATAAATCTTTAATTTCAGTATTTTATAGTCCGTTTTATCGTACACTTTCCTTGTCTATACTGCCATCATCGATCTTGTGATGGTATTTTCTGGTCTATGAGTTTTTAATATGCTTTTTAATGAGTTTTCAGGGTTAACTGGAGATTAACATGCATCTACAGCGGAGCGTGGGTGTGTTGTGCAGCTGTGAATGGCCCTCTGCTCTGTATCTGTGAGGCACAAGGAGCACGTTAATAATTCAGTGCTGTGCCATGTAGCTCTGAGTTGGTTAATGAACACAGAGGCATCTCCCAGGCATATTGCTTTGATGTTGGCTGCACTGTGAACGCTGTGTGACTTAGTGCGGGGACGAGACTAAGTTGCAGATTGGGACATAACAAGTCAAAAGTGCATGTATTAAAATGATGCCGTGGCAGACTATCTTGTATGATACAGATGGGATAATGTATGAGAGTGTTTATCGTGTCCTAGGAGAGATACCTTCTCTGTTTAATGGAGCTGAACACGCACATTTTTTCCCAGTATCCTTTAACGTTTGTGTACATGTAATGAAGAGACAGTGTTTTCACAAAGGGCAGCCCCACCAGCTGTATTGTTTTTTGACAGCGTGGCACTAATTAACCTGCCGAGACGCAGCCTAATTCTTTCCTTATAAGGCTACAGTTTGATCAGCAAATCTGTGTTAATATCGCCAGGAGGAGTAGCATTAGCTGTTAGCAGCCATTGAGCAACAGTTGCATCACGCTGCATTGAAGCTCGATTTAGTCAAATTGAGAAATCGTACATTCCAACATTAGCATGTCTTCTTAAGATGCAATTCTTTGAAATGTAGCTTCCAGTGAGAAACTTGAATAAACGCAGTGGTTTAAAGAAGCCCTATTATGTTATTTGGGGGTTTCCCTTACCTTTAGTGTGTTTTTATATAGGTATTTTTTGCATGCGAATGGTCTGCAAAAGCTAAATTCCCAAAGTTCACGCCAGAGAGAGTTTCTCTCACACATATCGAGGCGTTTTAGGCAATACGGAGCAGACGGCAGTATGACTAATATTAAGCACTTGTATACATTAAAGCAACGTAACATAGGTTTTTACCAAGTCACAATGTCAGTGTGAAAGGATATAAGTATCTCCAACACACATCCATCTCCAGCCTCTGGTGTGATTTGCTGTCGAGGCTCGGGGGGTTTTCAGCGCAAACCTTTTCCATCTTGCTTTAACACAATTGCATCTCTTCACTGCCACCCACTACTCATTCCCCCTCTAATGCCCACCAGTCCTTCTCCGAGGCTGCAGCAGAGGTGCAGGATGAAAACCGTTTGAAAGGAGGCCTCTCCCAGCAGAGGTCCTCCTGTTGGCATGGAAACGGCTGTCTCTGTGAATGGAGGCTTCTTTATCTCGGCCGGTCAGAGGGTTCCCGCTGTCTGCCGGTCCAACAGGACCCCGTCAGACTGCTTAACAAGCAGGCCTTTACAAGTCACTCAAATCTGGTTTTATATTGGTTTTATCGTTGATGTTTTTTTGGTTACGCCCTTTTTTCATTGTTTTATACATCTTGTGTTTCGGTTTCTGCGGGTGACATGCTTAGTTTTCCATTATGTGAACACTAAGCACGGAAAAGCAAGTTTATTTAGAGAATAACACAGTTCATTAAAAGGAAACTCAAAGTGCTTTACTGAAGAACATTTAAAAACAGTAGACCGTAAATGGCATTTAAATACAATTCGAAACAGACAAAAGCAACGGGACAAGACATTTAAATGGAACAAGACGGGAAGAAAGTAGGATTTTAAAGGTTATTTGATTCAGCGTCCAAAGGAAAATGTTTCCTTCTGTATTCAGGTTACAAAGAATACGTTTTAAAATGTATCAAAAAAACATTGCTTGTGCTCCAAAAAAACCTAGTGCTTTATGTTTCCAATCACTTGATCATTAGCATATTATATTGTCTTCACTTGCCTCTAAAAAGTCAAATGTTGAATAGTTAGTAATTAGGTGGCATTTCATCTGCCTGATGAGGGATGGGAAAGACAAATCCACCAACGTGCGGTTAAATTAATGGTGGTACAAAGGAAAGTGTGTATTGTTGGTTTCCACAGTCAGCCAGGTTTTTTGTCTAAATTAGTATGTGATTAGATGTCTTGATGGAAAAGCAGCAAGTGTCTGTATCCTTGGGCGCAGGACAGCAACAAATTACGTCTATTATTAATTTCTAAATTCAGTTTAATCAGATAAAAAGCCCAGATCGCTGCTGTCCTTGTCTCTGCCTCGCAGGTGTCTTTATCTGGCACGCTCTTCATCGTCTGCCCTTCATACTGTTTTCTGATTCTGATTAAAAAATATGCTTGCACAGTTTAGTAAAATCATTATTTCTCCCTTAAATGTACGCCTTATCGGAACATGTTGCCCCTCCATCTTCAACGTAGTGCAAATCAAACCTACCGTTTATGGCTGAAACACGGTATTTGGTGTGTGGATTTGACACAATGTGTTCATTTTTCATGGTGCGGTTTGCCAACATAGAAACTGCCTGAAAATCATGTCAGTTTGAAGTTATGCAGATCAGTTCTGTGGCCCACATTCCCTTTCTTCTGGATGAATTATTTACTGTTTATCAAATTTAAAGTAGGTTGGGTCACGCTTACTCTCGCTCCAAAATTCATCTTGTGTGAATTGATCCCAACTTGACAGCTTTAAGTAGACATGAATGCACCAGATATCCATGAATGTTTTACGGTCTGATTCCTCTTGCTCCAAATCAAGACAGTTTTTAGGTTGATTTAAATTATATTTTTTTGCATTTTACGTGCTTCCTCTTTTTCATTTTGATGTTATAAAGACGTAAAGGCATTTGAGGAATGTGTTGCATTGTCATGGTAGGATATCCTCCCTCAGATTTGACCTGGGTGGCTTTCCGTTGGGACGGGGGCAGCTGGCGGCTCAGTCAAAGTGCCTGTAAGTCTATTAGAGAGGATAATCCTAGAGGGAGAATTGCAGTGAACAGAAGGAGCAAGCCAAACATTCTGTCAATTCACTTTCCACACTTTTACCATCTGATTGTCTCCCTTGTTCCTCCCCTCCCGCTGCAGCCTATCGCTCTCCCACACATGGCCGCCATATGCTTACTCCATCACTCCCTGTGAGGAAAGAAGGCCTCCCCAAACAAGCTGTAGAAAATGCAGACAACTATGACATGACCTAATCTCTCTCCAAACAAATTTGCCATAAACTCTTTGAGGTGGATTGTACATTACAAGATGAAAGTTAACGAGCATGTTTTGTTTATTTCCACGATGTGTGGTTTTTAACCCACCTTTTCTTTCTTTCTCTACTTTTTCTCCAGCCTCCCACCTCCAGTGCCCCGGGCTCAGTGAGGGACTCAGCTTCACTTCAAAGGGGACGGTCTGCGCTGCTGCAGATAACACGCTGTACCCTAAAGCGCTGTACCCTAAAGCAGTGACAAGCTTTTCCAGAGCCCCAACACGGACCCTTCGTTCACAGGTTCGGCCCTTTCTGTGTCTTGTAGCAAACTGTTTCTTCTTTGCTGCTGTTTCCAGTTTTCATGTATTGGCTCTTCGGCTCTTGTACTCTTTAGCCACAGGCTTAGGCCCCGTCCACACGGAGACGAAAACAAACCGAATTCGATATCAAAAAAGTATTCTGTCCACACGGAATCGGCTCAAGAAACATGTCCGTCCACACGAGACCGCTCGACCCGCTGGAGACGCTGTGTAGTACATATGCCGGGCCTGTAAGTGGCGCTGTACTTCCGCCACAAAATACACCAAAAGCAGCGAATAAGACCGATGACGATTATTATTATTATTATCATTATATTATGTTATTATTGTTGCTGATGGTTGTGGTAGAGGAGCTGTAAATGTTGCACTAAAATCTGTATCATGGTCAGTAGAGTCTGCAGTGTTTCCCCTAGGATGGAGTCATAGCAGCGGTGCTAAGGCACGCGGGCCCAGCAAAATGTGAGCGCGGTGCGTGTGGAATTTTTTAGTGTGTGCGAAGTGCGCCCCGTCAATATGTTTCCATGTGTCTGCCAGCACAAAAAAGGCTCTTGAGGCCTAGTACATACAGTGGCAATGTCTCAAGATTTAGCAAAATTCACCTTTTATTGAACATACAGTAACACAAATACTACAAATCCACATAATAAACAATCAAAAATCAAAAAGGGTCGCCACTTATTATTTACATTTTTTTTTTTAAATGTGCCGCCGCTATTTGTATATAGGGGAAACACTGGTCTGGAGCACGAACGCAACCCTGTGATCCGCCATTGTTGTTGTTGGCGAAACGCATCAGCAATGATGTGGGGGTGAGCAGGAGAGGTGGGGAGAGGCGGGGCTATGGCGTCATCGTTTTTTGAAATGATCGTATAGGGCGTACACACGGAGCCGCAAGCGTTTCGTCCTCAGACCTACCCACTTTGGGAGCCGTTATCAATGTGTATCGGATTCGGGCTCCGAATCCGCGGTTCCGTTTCGGCCTCGTATGGACGAACCGTCTATACCAGTGCTTTTCGAAGTGTGTGGCCAGAGAGCTTCAGGGGAGGCGCAGCGCGAGAAAAAATAACGAGAAACAGTGAAATCTAGCTAGTTAACTTCAGCCAACTTTATGCGAGCGGCAACATGGATCGATTTTTTGTGAAGTTACCTAAAGTGAGAGAGGAGACAGCGTCTGTCAGAAAACGGAGGAAGTATGACCACGATTATTTGAAGCTAGGATTTTCATGGACCGGTCCTGGCAGGGGCGGACTGGCAACCTGTGTGTTCTGGAGAATCACAGAACGGCCGGTCGTCAGCGGGCCGTTGGCGGCCGTCTCGGTTAAAAAGGTTTAAAAAAGTTATTGTTTAATGTTTTAAGGAGGTGACGCTACTCAGCCAATCAAATCGGGTGCAGTCAGTGAGTCAGCACGATAGATTCAAACACACACACAGAGACGAGACAAGAAGAGAGAAAAAGTCAGAGTAACTTCAAATGGCGTGCTCAAAAAAGAGAAAGGTAGACAGCGAAAACAGAGCATTTAATGACATGTTCTCTTACTGGACCTCTTTGAAATGCAATTGAATACCCCTGCATTATAGCAACAACAACAACAATAATAATAATAGCAATAATAATTGGGAGGGGGGGCGCGACTGTTCTTATGTTCTCTGAGGGAAGTCTCACCTTCCCACACCCCTGGTCTATACGATAGAGAACGTTAGCGGATACAACTGATATCGTCTCCGTGTGGACGGGGCCTTAATGTGCACTTGAATTGCATTGTCGCTTGCAGCATTTGTGTGTGCAGAAAGGATGAAAGGAATTTTTTTTATCACTAGGATGCCTAGATGTTATGACTTTTTTTAGCATTTATATATTTGACCACTTTAATTAATATATTTTCCTGGTACCAGCCAGAATTGCCCACTTGTTGCAATCAATGTTCATCTTCAGTTTGACATTGATTTTACTCTTACAGGGATAAGTGGGTGGTCGATTTACCCTAACCCTTTTAATTGAGACCAAATATACCTGCCTCAACCTAACATCATTTAACATTTACACTGATGCGTATCCATGCCAACATACTGGATTTACCCGGGTTGAGTGAAGTTAAAAACAAACTACATGTTGGGCAATAAGAAGAAGACATTCTGTCTTCAGCACAAAGCCTCACAACGCTTGACATAAACTGGTTGAACAGTGACTACCTGCTGCCTGCATGTTGTGTGTGTGTGTGTTAGGCACAAGTTTCAGCCAATAGATGCATTCGAACTGCGGGATGTTATACCATTTATTTAAACTACACAGATGCAGAACAAAAGCTTCCAAGCCTTTCAACTGTTCCAACTTTTTGGTTAAAAAGAATCCTGAAGAGTCTGATGTGAAATGTTGCCAGTTCTACCACTTAAACCCCGTCTCTCTCTCCCAGCGAAGCAGCTTCACACACACAGAGGGGAGGGACCAGGCCGTGACAATTATTCAAATATTTCCCAGTACTTGTGGGAAAGTATTTTACCTTGAAATGCACTATTAAAAACAACAATGAATTTGACTATAATCATTGATTTATTACTTCTCGTCTCACCCACTGCATGCTTCCTTGAATGATCACATGGCAATAATAATTATCAAATGTTACTTTAATTGTTGCTTCAGAGTAGGGCTGTACCCGAATATTCGTTCGTTGGAGTACTATTCGCGTTTCAATTTCGTTATTCGTATATTTTTTTTTTTCAAATTGAATTTATTGAAATCTCCATTATCAACGTAAGAGCTTGTGCCTCTTCGGGGGGTGCTAACACTTAACCATAAACTTTATTGTTTACTTTCTCCGTCTTTATATGTAGATATGACTTTTCTCCGTTAATCTCCGTCACGTTGTTTCCATAGCAACAACAACTTCCTGTCAACAGCGCTAACTCTCCTTCAAAATAAAAGCATGTCCATACAAAATAGGAAGCAAGCCAAATTACACTTAAGACATATACAACTGCAACGAAAGTAACAAATACAATGCAATATCCTTTTCAATTTCAAAGAACACAAATTGGGTTATTTACATGAACAAATAACTATAAAACAATACTGTAGAATAACAAAATGAATGCCGTGAATAAACCGAAATACACGTGTTGAAGCGGTTCACTGCTGATTACTACGCACCCCTCCCCCGCGCGGGCCGAATATTCGCTGCTGATTACTACCGAATATCCGGAGCCCGAAAAATGGTATTCGGGACAGCCCTACTTCAGAGTCAATCAGTTGAATTCCTCCTCCTTGATTTTGTATATCATGATCTGACTCACTTTTGGGCTAAGCTGTATAAACACTAAACACATGGAATAATGAATGTGAACTCTTTTACATAACTTTCTATAAAAACGACAACAAACATCTTTCTATTTTACTCATATCAGTGCTGTGATTAATACAAAAAAAAAAGGTAATATCCTCTTAAGGCTAATTTCTTATTTGGTGAATGTGACTAAAACTAAATATAATGGACCAAGTGATGGCTGGTTTATGTTTAATGTACTAAAGTATTTTGGTGATGCTCAAAGTCATGGCATCTGTTGGGTTATCTGTGTTTCCATGGCAGCAGCACGTTGCTGCTCAGGTTCCTGGTGATTTCCTCTGGGCTGAGACACCTCGTCATCTGCTTTCTTAAGAACATCTTTTCCCCTCTGTGGATCTGCGACTGTTTCTCTCTCTCTCTCTCTCTCTCTCTCTCTCTCTCTCTCTCTCTCTCGAGATACAACTATTGTACAAGCGTGGTTTCCATGTAATCAGGCAGCAGATAAATCTTAACAAATGTACCGTTAATATTTAATAAAAGTTCCTCCTGAGCGAAAATCATAACCGTGGAATAAGTAAAGGTCTCTGATGATAAGCTCCACTAAACTCTTAGACTAGCTGTTGGCATAATGGGAAAAGGAAACGATGATATCGAGCCCTGAACAAAAGATTACCCGCCTGTGAAGACGCTCAAGTTAGGTCCATCTTTCTTATGTTTGTTTTCTTGCAGTGGATGGATTTGTGTGCATGCCCCAAAGTAATCACCCATCCATTAAACAAAGTAATGTAAACTCCTGTATTTTCTTCGATTAATCTCCCCTACAAGTTCACAGAGCAATTCTTCAAAAATAAGGACGGCTGAAGAGTACACATGCATTTATTATGATTAAATGACTAATGAATGATAAAGAGTAGTGAGTATACACTGTGATAACAAAGCCAATCCTTAATGAAGAAATATGACCAACCAGGAACTTCCTACACGCCTTCTCCTCTTCTTTATCTTTTAGGATGTAAAACAGCTCAATTAAACGGCTTATTATTATTATTATTATAGCTTTCACTGCAGTAACATGGGAAGTACTTCAACTAATTATACCCTTTGCTTTCAGTCTGATGTGCTGGGAAATGTACCAAACTATATTTATGAATTCACACAGAGAAGGCAGACTACTCATACTTTCAGGAGGACCACTGCTGTTTTAAAAGTTGGAACAAGTTGAAGCGTGCAGACTGAATATTGATCAGATGCAAACTAGGCATGAGTCAAAATATCTTGTCAAGTTGTATTGTTGTAAAGCACAGCCGACTGTATCTTATAGCAGTATGTAATTAACATTTAGTGAACATATTGAGCTAGTCTGGCTTGTTGAAAACTGCTGTGGATCTTTGCAGGGAACAGAAAGAAGAGAAAAGGAGAAGCTCAGCTGACTTGAAACCGTAATGGAAACTTTAAAGTAATCCTGAAAAAGCTTGACATTATTTTTCTTTGCAGTAATGCCATTAATCAAGATGAATCAACAGCCCAACCCCAACATGTATGATCTTACCCTTTCATTATTTCGGCCTCCTCTCATTAGTGTCTGTTTTGCTTTGTAATGTCTGCTCTGCATTACTGAAATGTGAGCTAGTTTGCTGCAGGGAGATCTTTTTTTAAACCGCTTGGACTCACAGCTGCAAATTGTGTAATGATCGCGATGGTC